AATGTTTTAATTTTGAGAGAGGAACTGCTCGGGCATTTCCCCTGGACCACATCAAGAGGGAGAAGAAGAAGGTGAGAAGTAAGTAGGAAGGTGGCGGTGAAGGAGGAGAGGGGGTGAGTGAAGAAAAAGATGGAAAGAAGTAAGTTGGTTTGAGGTGGGATGCGGTTTGGGGGGAAATGGGCAGGCAAGACCGAATGTGGTGTGTATCAATTTGTTTTATTTTTTATCTGAAGTATTTGTAAGATTGTTATGTATTGTAAAGTTGAAAATAAAAATTTTTACAAAAAAAAAAAAGATAGTGTGAAAGGGCAGTGGATTTACAGTGTAGAGTCTGAGAGGTGTTCTGGAGTCCTCGGCTGCATCAACAGAGGGACAGAATCAAGAGAGGAACCTTGGTGTCCTAATGGACAATCACTTAAATATAAGCAGCCCAAAAAGCTAATACAATCCTTGTAAATAAACAGAGGCATAGAATCAAAATCACATGAAGTGTTAGTACCATTTTACAAGGCCTTGGTAAAGCCACACTTGGAATACTGCATCCAGTTTTGATCATCACAATGTAAAAAAGATGTTGAGACTAGAAACAGAGAAGAGCAACAAAGATGATTAGGGGACTGGAGGTTAAAGCATATAAGGAACGGCTGCTGGAATTGGGGATGTCTATAGTTTAATGAAGAGAAGGACGAGGGGGGACATGATAGCAGTCTTCCAATATCTCAGGGGCTGCCACAAAGAAGAGAGAGTCAAGCTATTTTCCAAAGCACCTGAAAGCAGGATGAGAAGCAACGGATGGAAACTAATCAAGGAGAGAAGCAACCTAAAACTAAAGAGAAATTTCCTGACAATTAGAACAACTAACCAGTGGAACAACTTGCTTCCAGAAGTTGTGCATGCTCCAACACTGGAGGTTTTCAAGAAGAGAGTGGGTAACATTTGTCTGGAATGGTATAGGATGTCTTGCTTGAACAGGGGGGTTGGACTAGAAGACCTCCAATGTCCCTTCCAACTCTGTTATTCTGTTAAATCATCAGGAATGGCACTATTGCAATCCAAGGTTTGTGTGTGTGTGGGGGGGGTGAGACTTGCATGTGACCCTAAAAAGCTTTAAATGCAACTCATAAATGCCCTAAGAGAGCTGCTAGCAAATGACATCTTTAATGTCACCAGTGAGGAAAATAATTATGTACAGAGTACAGTAATGTCAACTGTACTGAATTACTTCCAAGGTAAAATTAGATGAATCATACATTGTTTTGTTCTGACTCTTTTCCCACTCATTTAGTCAAGGTAAATTTTTTCTTTTTTGGTGGGTGGAGATGCATATGTATTTTTCTCGGGAGAAACACAGAGGTTGTTTACTACAGGTGGTCCTTGACTTACAACAGTTCATTTAGTGACCGTTCAAAGTTACAATAGCACTGAAAAAGTGATTTAGCAGCCGTTGCAGCATTTCCCCATGGTCATCTGATCAAAATTCAGATGCTTGGCAGTGTCCTGGGATCATGTGGTCACTTTTTGTGGCCATCTGACAAGCAAAGTGAATAGGGGAGCCAGATTCACTTAACAATCATGTCACTAACTTAAGAACTGCACTGATGCACTTCATACCTGTGGGAAGAAAGGTTGTAAAATGGGGGGGGATTCACTTAACAATTGACTCACTTAGCAACAATAATTTGGGTTCAATTGCAGTCATAAGTCAAGGACTGACAATATAGCCTTTCTCTGGAATATTGCATCATCTACCTCTCTAATCTACAGCCTCAGGGATTGTCCTGTGGTCTCCTTTTCAAATGCTAATATGTTCCACTCCCTAATCCTTCAGTAGGTCCTGACAGGGCAGGGGGTAGGCCACCTTGGTTCTTTTATGACTGGTGGACTTCAACTCCCAGAATTCCTGAGCCAGCCATGCTGAGGGGAAAGGGAGAGGTTTCTAAACTGAGCCATGCTGGCTCAGGAATTCTGGGAGTTGAAGTCCATGAGTCATAAAGCGGCCTAGGCCTAGGCCAGAGGTAGGCCACCTTGGCTCTTTTATGACTGATGGACTTCAACTCCCAGAATTCCTGAGCCAGCCATGCTGATGGAAAAGGGAGACGTTTCCAAGCTGAGCCATGCTGGCTCAGGAATTCTGGGAGTTGAAGTCCATGAGTCATAAAGCGGCCTAGGCCTAGGCTAGAGGTAGGCCACCTTGGCTCTTTTATGACTCATGGACTTCAACTCCCAGAATAGCTGGCTCAGGAATTGTGGGAATTGAAGTCCATGAGTCATAAAAGAGCCAAGGTTGCCTACCCCTGTGTCAGGGAAAGAATTAAAAACTTGTCAAGTGAAACTACTTCCAGGTGGCTTCCTAAAGCAGTTGGCTCTAGTTTTCTCCTGTTTTTCACCTTTGCTGATGTAGGATTTCCCGAAGGATCAAGTACTAACCAAGTCTGATCCCTTTTCAAGCTCACCCAAGGTTGCAGATGTGTCCCCTTCTGCTTGCAAACGCCTCAAATAAGCACACAGGATGTTTTCTCTGTAAACTATCTGGGTAGGAATGTCTTTCCCCATTTAAATGGGGCTGATGGAAAGCTGAAAGCAAGTTTTTGAGATAAAGCTGCTGCGTTAAGCATTTAGGAACAACTATTTTTTTTAAAAAAAAGTTCAGAGTTTTATTTTTGACCAGATAAAAAGTACGTATACAAGTAATCCTTAATTTATAACCCCTTGTTTAGTGACTGTTTGAAGTTGTAACAGCACTGCAAAAAGTGACTTATGACTATTTCTTACACAATTGTTGCAGCATCCCATGGTCACGTGGTCAAAATTCGGACGCTTGCAAGCTGACCTGTATTTATGATAGTTGTGGTGTCCCTGATCCCCTTTTGCGACCTTCTGACAAGCAAAGTCAATGGGGAAGCCTGATTCACTTAACAACCATGTCACTAACTTAACAACTGCAGTGATTCACGTAACAACTGCGGCAAAAAAAGATTGCAAAATGAAGCAAAACTCACTTAGCAACTGTCTTAGCAATGGAAATTTTGGGGCCAGTTGTAAGTATAAGTCAAGCATTATCTTTAAAAACACAGAGATAGTGAACCTGTCAGAGATAGTCCTTGATTTGCAACCACAATTCAATCAATCAAAATAGAGCTGGAAGGGACCTTGGAGGTCTTCTAGTCTAACCCCCTGCTCAGGCAGGATACCCTATACCAGGAGTAGGCAACCTTGACTCTTTTATGACTCATGGACTTCAACTCCCAGAATTCCTGAGCCAGCCATGCTGAGGGGAAAGGGAGAGGTTTCCAAGCTGAGCCATGCTGGCTCAGGAATTCTGGGAGTTGAAGTCCATGAGTCATAAAAGAGCCAAGATTGCCTACCCCTGCATTAGACCATTTCAGACAAATGGCTATCCAGTCCCTTCTTAAAAGCCTCCAGTGATAGAACACCCACAACTTCTGAAGGCAAGCTATTCCATAGGTTAATTCAGTGGTTCTCAACCTTTTTAATGCTGCAACCTCCAACCGGTCGTAAGTTGAGGACTACTCAACCGGTCGTAAGTTGAGGACTACTCAACTGGTGCAGCACCGTTTGCAGAATGGGACTTTTGGCGGGCTCAGCAGGGCAGAGACAGCCTGGACAATTCCTATTGGCTTTTGAAAGCCAATAGAATTAGACTCTATTCAAGAGAGTCTATTCTATTGGCTTTCAAAAGCCAATAGAATAACAGGGAGTAGCACAGCGAAGGAAAAGGGGGAAAAAATGGCGGACTGCGTTGTTTGGCGACCCCCGTGAAATGGTCGTTCGACCCCAAATGGGGTCCCGACCCACAGGTGGAGAACCACTGGGTTAATTGTTCTAATTGTCAGAAAAATTCTCTTTACCGGTACTTTCAGGTTGTTTCTCTCCTTGATGAGTTTCCATCCATTGTTTCTTGTCTTGCCTTCTGGGGCTTTGGAGAATAGGCTGACCCCTTCCTTCTTGTGGCAGTCTCTGAAATACTGGAATACTGCAATTGGGACCAAAATTTCCATGGCTAAGCAAGGTGGATAATAATAATAATAATAATGATGATGATGATGCTGATGATGATGATGATAATGATGATGATGATGATTGGAAGGTAGTGAACTTGATAGAGGTAGTCCTTGATTTGCAATCACAATTCAGTCAGAATAGAGCTGGAACGGACCTTGGAGGTCATCTTGTCCAACCCTTTGCTCAGGCAGGAAACCCTATATACCAGTGATGGCGAACCTTTTAGAGACCGAGTGCCCAAATTGCAACCCAAAACCCACTTATGCATGGTCGGGTGGCAGGTGGGTGTGGCCCATTGAGTGGGTGTGGCCCATTGGGTGGGCGTGGCTGCGGTGGTAACAGCAGACTGGGTGGGACTAAAAAGTTCAGTCAATCAATTCCAACTTTGCAAGATATTTTTTTCCCGCAAGAAGTTGAAATTGACTGATTGATTGAACCTTTTTTTTTTGTACACGGCGGCGGAGGCCTAAAGTGAAAAGGTTTTATAAAACCCAGCTGAAGGTCTAGGACTGAGGCGACGGCGCGCATGCCCACAGAGAGGGCTCTGAGTGCTGCCTCTGGCACCCGTGCCATAGATTCGCCACCACAGCTATATAACATTTCAGACAAATGATTTTCTTAAAAACTTCCGTTGCTGGAGCATTCACAACTTCTGGAGGCAGGTTAAGTGAGCCATACTTAATTTTATTGTTAAGCAAATGGTCATTAAGCGGATCTGGTTCCTCCATTGAGGAAGATTTCAAATGCCAATCACGTAACCCTGGGACTGCTGCAGCCATGTAAAATGCACGCTGGTTGCCAAGCACCATGGGGATGCTACAGTGGTCATAAGGGCGAGTTCTGTTCGCAAGTCGCCTTTTCCAGTGCCGTTGTAACTCTGAATGGTCACTAAAACATTGGTTGCAAGTCAGGAGTTAGCATGCCTCATATGTGGAAAGGAAGACCAGTATGCTGATTGTCACGTTGCTACTCCTCAGGTTTACAAGACGACCATGACCTCAAGTTCCTGCTACGGGGAAGTCACCTCTTGAAAGTCAAGTCCACGTCCTGGAGGAGAGAGAGATTTTACAAGCTACAGGAAGATTGTAAGACCATATGGCAGGAATCCAAGAAAATGCTTCGATCCCCGGAGTCACAGCTTTGTAAGTATCTGGCTGTTGTTCTCTCAGTAAACCACCTGTAGTGGAGTTTTCAAAAGACAGCTGGACTGTTTTTTCCTTGAAGAAGACATTTTACTTCTCATCTGAGAAGCTTCATCAGTTCTAGCGGGGTAGTGGGTGGCGAAGCAAGGGTTATATTTCTTTTTAGTCATCTTGTTGTTAGCGCTCTCTCTGAGAGCCATTGAGGCCCGGGGGGGGGGTGGTTATCTGCGCCCTCTATCCTATCAGAACCTATTCTTCTATTCCCCATGAAGCTTCTTGGATGAGAAGCGAAACTTCTTGAAGGAAAAAAAAAGTCCAGCTGTCTTTTGAAAATGAGACAGCTATGACCTGGATGACTGAGAATCTCCATAGACTAGGGGTAGGCCACCTTGGTTCTTTTATGACTGGTGGACTTCAACTCCCAGAATTCCTGAGCCAGCCATGCTGAGGGGAAGAAGAGGTTTCCATGCTGAGCCATGCTGGCTCAGGAATTCTGGGAGTTGAAATCCACAAGTCATAAAAGAGCCAAGGTTACCTACCCCTGCCATAGACATAGTGGAGTTGTTTATACTCCACTTCCCTGCTCATTTGTACCATCCATAGTTTACATCCAAACTGTCATTAGATCAATAATTTGAAGGGAGAATTGGTTTCAAGTTTCAAAGTAATACTCTCTGGTTTGTGCAAACTATGGGAACCAGTAACTAGGGACCGCTTCATTATTTCCAAATTCTTTATTTTTAAGATCCAAGTTAACACAGTGGTATCTTGCCACTCAACTGCTTTGAAACTCATTAGATTTGATGACGTGAAAATTTTGTCCTGTTGTTCTTTGTTTGGCCCTCCACGCACAAGCTAGAACTTGTTGATGTCAGCTGCCTTGTGACTCAGTACATTATTCCTTATGGGAAAAAATTGTGTGGTATTCATTATTTTTAATATTCATTGCACCTGCTGGAACCAATTAACAATGAGTACCAAGGTACCACTATATACTTACAAAAATAAGATAAGATAAAGATAAGATAAAGATAGATAAAGATAAAGATAGGATAGGATAGGATAAGATACGGTAAGGTAAGGTAAGGTAAGGTAAGGTAAGGATAGGACAGGACAGGACAAGACAACCTTTTTGTCATTTTTTTACTGTGGGCACAACGACACACATCAAAAATGAAATTTAATTGCCCGCTCTCAAAGTGAACACATGACGCACATCTAAACATACTATATACAACATATACATACTATATCCAACATATGTATAGACCTACACCCCTACATATACATAACAAATAAATATTAAATGCTGTCGATCTTGAATATATAATGGAAGGAGGAAGCGTGAGAGTTCACAAGGTTAATGCTGTATGGAATGAAACTATGGCTGAATCTGGATGTTCTGCTTCGGATACCACAAAGCCCCCTCCCAGAAGGTAACAAGGAAAACAGGTCATGAAGAGGGTGTGTAGTGTCCCAGATAATCTTGCGGACCCTGCTCAAGCAACGCTTCTGAGCTATGTCTTGGATGGGAGGGAGGGAACGGCCAATGATCTTTTCTGCCGTCCTCACCACTCTCTGCACCGCTTTCCTGTCTAAAGCAGTGACTTAAACTGCAATTCTGTGAGTGAGAACAATAAAGTAAAAACAAGTAAAACTATAAAAAACAAACAAATTCAAAACCTCTGAAAAAATGCAATTAAGAATATAGCTTTACTCTGAGCTCCAGCTTTTGGGCTGTCTTAAAGTGAGATACATTTATGGTTCAATCAATTATCTGGAGGCCACCTAATTCCAAACAGTGATAATCAATACATATACTTCTCACTTAACAATCACAGTAGGGACCAGAAACTCCACTGCTAAATGTGAAAGCCATGAAGTGTGACGTACAACATCATTCCTATTGGTCCCAGCTGCTGTTGTTAAGTGAGGACTTCACAAATTTGCAACCTCTGACTTCTTGCTGGCTTCCCCACTGACGTTGCTTTTTGGAAGCAGCTGGGAAGATTTAAGATTGTGACTGTGGGATGCTACGGTGCCATAATTGCAAGCCAGTTGCCAAGCCCCTGAATTGTCCCACTGTGGGGATGCTGCAATTGGTGCAAAGATGAGAACTCATTTTGACTCCCCCTCATTCGGTGCCATCATAATTTTGGACTGTGGCTGAACAAATGGTCACTAAACACTTTGAGAGGAAGCAACTAAATTTCGTTTTTAATATGTGCCATTGTGCCCAGAGGAAAAAAAATGACAATAATCTGTTTGTCCAGTGGTTCTCAACCTTTCTAATGCCACGACCCCATAATACAGTTCCCCATGTTGTGGTGACCCCCAACCACTTATACATCACCGGGTGCCAGGGGCATGGCCAAAGAAAAGGGGGAAAAAATGGCAGACAGCCTTGTTTGGCGACCCCCGTGAAATGGTCGTTTGACCCCAAATGGGGTCCCGACCCACAGGTTGAGAACCACTGTGTTTGTCTGTCTGTCTGTCTATCTATCTATCTATCTATCTATCTATCTATCTATCTATCTATCTATCTATCTTTATTTATTTATTTCTCTATCTACTTAAATCCATCCATCCACCCGTCTATCTATCTATCTATCTATCTATCTATCTATCTATCTATCTATCTATCTACATCTGTCTGTCTGTCTATCTGTCTATCTATCTATCTATCTATCTATCTATCTATCTATCTATCTATCTATCTATCTATCTATCTATCTCTTTATCTATCTACTTAAATCTATCCGTCCGTCCATCGGTCTGTCCATCTCTCTCTCTCTCTCTCTCTCTGTCTATCTATCTATCTATCTATCTATCTATCTATCTATCTATCTATCTATCTATCTATCTATCTGAATCTAAATGATGACCACCTGCTTAAGTAAAGAAGGGAATCATGTGTAGATAAATGCAGTAATGTGTCTTCTATTGCCACGTGCTGCTACAATGAATTCCTCTCAGGAACACAGAAGAGTTCCAAAGCTTACAAAATCAAAAGTTATATCCCTTGCGAAGATGTGCAAAATGTTTCAAAAAATATTATGAATTATAGGAGAACCTTCACTATAAAAATTTAAGATTGAACAATTACTTGTGGTAACCTTACCATGAGCTGACCTAGTATAGGCAGTCCTCGACTTAACGATCACAACTGAGATCTATTGCTAAGCAAATTTCTATTGCTAAGCAAAACATTTGTTGAATTTTGTTCCATTTTGTGACCTTGCTTACCACAATTGTTAAATTAATAACTGCAGTTGTTAAGCCAGTAACACCGTTGTTAAGTGAATCTGGCTTCCCCACGCTTATAAGGGAGTCACAAATGATTACCGCATGACCCGGGACACTGCAATTGTCATAAATACAAGCCAGTTGCCAACTATCTGAATTTTGATTACGTAACCGCACAAGTGGTGCAATAGTCGTAAGTGTGAAAAATTGTCATAGGTCACTTTTTCAGCACTGTAAGTTTGAATGATCACTAAATGAATGGTCGTAAGTTGAAGACTACCTGTATTGATAAATTCTGATTTTCTAAGAAGATTCTTAGAATCAATAGAAAAGATGACAAATTTCCAATCTTTTTCTGTTACCAGTGCCTTTTAATATAACTAGTGTCTTTTATTCTACCTCAGTGGTGGCGAACCTATGGTACGGGTGCCAGAGGCGGCACTCAGAGCCCCCTCTGTGGGCACGCGTGCCGTCGCCCCAGTCCTAGGCCTTCAGCTGGGTTTTATAAAACCTTTTTGCTTTAGGCCTCTGCCGCTGTGTTCTGACTGAATGGTGGAGGATGGAAGTGGAAGCCTCAACGACTCTCAGAAAGAGGACTAACAACCAGATGACTGCAAGGAATATAAGTGCTTCCTTCCTCTTCTATTCAGCCAGAACTGAAGAAACCTCTTGGATGAGAAGCGAAACATCTTCAGGGAAAAACAAAGGAAGTCCACTTGCCTCTTGAAAAAGCACCTTTGGGGACAACCATGACTTGGATGACTGAGAATTTCCACAGAATAAAGAAAGAATATTATTTGTCCCCCTACATTATTAAGGACGATGCATGATTGAAAATGAATAGGCAGCTTAACTCAGCCAGGCTCTACTTTGTGACAGAAATCTAATAGCTCGTGTAACAAACTGTATTGTGGTTTGAGTGGCTGCCAGCCCTACGATGGGGTGGAGAGAGTCAAATGAAGTAGTTCCAAATAAGCCTTGAAGGGATGTAAAAATAATGTTATTTAAATTTGCACAACGTATTTATTTAATTATTGGCATTCAGCCATTTGCTGTGTGCTGCATAATTGAGCAGTGATTGATCAAAAATGGATTGCCCTGTCAAATACAATTTGTAGACGCAGTTAAGTTGAGAAAAAAATATATAGATAGATAAGTAGATAGATGGGAACATTACAATCCTCAAAAGAGCATTCTTTTTCTTTTCAAACTAATCAAGGAGAGAATGAACCTAAAACTAAGGAAAAATTTCCTAACGGAACAAATAATCAGTGGAAAGGCTTATCTCCAGAAGCTGTGTGTTCTCCATCACTGGAGGTTTTTAAGAAGAGACTGGACAATCATTTCTCTGAAATAGCACAGGGCAAACATGTCAAACACAAGGCCCGGGGGCCGGATGCGGCCCGTGAAGTGGTTTCCTGTGGCCCGTGAAGCCATCCTGGAAACAGTGAGGGAACGGCCCCCGCTGCCTTGGCCCTGGCCCAGGCCGGCCGGGAGCCAATGTACAATTTTGTGGTGGCCATCTATGCTGAAACCCATTCAGTCTTAGCTTCACAAGGCCGTCCAGAAACAATGAGGAACCAGCCCCTGCTGTGTGCATGCTTGGGAGGTGTCACCCTTTGTGAGGAATGACAAAATGGACCATGCCTTGGTGCTTGCCCCCGTCCCACCCCCTTCTGCCAGAGACCCTCAGATCTGTCCCACGCCTGCCCAGGCCCCCACAGGCACCCTTCACGCGAACGATGTAGAGCTGGCCACGCCCACTCAGTAGGCCACACCCACTCCATCCATGCCCACCCAGTAGGCTGCACCCACCCTGGCCCCACACCCCCAGCCCCCCGAGGGCAACCACAATACTGATGCAGCCCTCAATGAAATTGAATTTGACACCCCTAGCATAGGGCTTCCTGCTTCAGCAGCAGTTTGGACTAGAAGATCTCCAGGGTCCCTTCCAATTCTGTTATTCTGAGTTCATTTTGTTTTAAGTGGAGGTATAACTGAATACAGGTAGTTCTTGACTTATAACAGTTGATTTAGTGAACGTTCAAAGTTACAACATCACTGAAAAAAGTGACATAATATGACTGTTTCTCACACTTACAACCATTACAGCATCTCTTTGTGATCAAAATTTGGCAACTGGCTCATATTTATGATGGTTGCATGTCACATGATCCCCTTTTGCGACCTTCTAACAAACAAAATCAGTGGGGAATCCAGATTCACTTAACAACTCATATTTATGACGGTTGCATGTCACATGATCCCCTTTTGCAACCTTCTAACAAACAAAATCAATGGGGAATCCAGATTCACTTAACAACCTTGTTATTAACTTAACATGTGCAGTGATTCACTTAAGAACTGTGACAGGAAAAATGGGGCAAAACTCACTTAACAAATGTCTCACTTAGCAACAGGAACTTTGGGCTTAATTGTGATTGTAAGTCGAGGACTATCTGTATTCTTCAGTTAGAGACTTAAAAATATATTTAAAGTCATTGCATTCCATGTTCTCTCACCTGGCATTTTCTGAGTGTTTTGAGAATATTGAAATTTTTTAGCAGCCTTCCCATGTTTTTTCTCTGTATTTTTAAAATCCAGTCATGTAAATCTGACTTTACTTTCCTTGTTGATCCCAGCTTCCCCATTTATTAGTGATCAGCCTTCAAGGAAAACAAACTCAAAACCCAAGAACAAAGCAAATAAGGGTGTAACTTTGAAATAACAAGAAAAATCTTGCACATTTCCTGCATGTACCAGATGTAAGGCACCCTTGAGCCCGTCCTAGTCTGGTTTTTCAAGTATTTTGTAAAATTATTAATGTGCACAATTGTTTCTATTTGCCATTAATTCAAAGTGACTGCCAAAGTTAAGGAGATTTGCAAACAAATAATTCCAGATAATATGTTTCTCTAGGACTGTTTGATTTAGGCTGCAAAGTTCCACTGGACCACTAGAGGGCAGGAAAGAAACCCAGAAAATCTTAACAGTTTGCTGCCCTCTGCTGGTTATCTGGAGTTTTGCAAAACCAATTTTGTAACCCTTGTTTTCTCATATTACAGTAGACCTTAACTTACAATGATTCATTTGTTGAAGTTTCAAAGCTGAAACATAAAAATATGACTTACAATCAGTCCTCGCACTTATGACCATTTTAGCATTCTCATGGTGACATGGTCAAAATTCAAGCATAGGGCAGCCAGCATGCATTTATGATGATTGCAGCATCCTGTGGTCATGTGATCAGCATTTGTGATCTTTCCATTTGGTTTCCAATGAACAAAGTCGATGGGGAAACCTGGATTCATTTAACAACCACGTAATTCACTTAACAACTGCAATGATTCATCCAATAACCAAAAAAGTCGTAAAATCAGGCATGATCACTTAACAACTACCTTGCTTAGCAATGGAATTTTTAATCCCAGTTGTGGTCGTAAGTCAAGGACTTACGAAAGTTCATGAACATTTTGCAATCTACCTGTACATCAAAGGCATCAGAATGTTAGCTTCTTTTTTTCAAGGTCCCTATCATTTGTTTATTAAATTTATTGGCCACCCATGTTGCCACAGTCTATGCTTCTAGAACAGTATTTCTTAACCTGGGCCACTTGAAGATGTGTGGACTTCAACTCCCAGAATTCCCCAGCCAGGATGTTGGTTTGAGAATTCTGGGAGTTGAAGTCCACACATCTTCAAGTGGCTCAAATTGAGAAACACTGCTTCAGATAATAGATTGGGAAGGTGACTCTTGAATATTAAGGTTTTTATAACTTTAGCTTTCAGTATTATTATCTACACGTCAACCTGTATTGTGTATCTTGGAAAAAGACAAAGCAAATAAACTTCCAAACAAGTTTATTTAGCAGTGAATTTAAATGCTTTAAAACTTCAATGTCTTCTAGTCAGGAATAATCTTTGCAAATCTTTGTCTTACTAGAGCTCAATCTTTCTTCCTTAGTCCCTGTTCTTAACGTGTCACAATTTTTTTATTTTTGCATTTTTGAAATTCTTGGTATTATTGGGTTTGTGTGAACTTGCGTATTTGGAATGTTTTTTCTCCCTTTTATCTCTTGCCTCTGAATCTTCCTGGGTTGAAAAACTCTAGTTTTGTTAACTACAATGTCCAGAAAGGATCAGTTTGTCTAGTCAGTGACAAAAATGTCCACTTTGAAAAGGCTAGAGGCCCTGGTAAATATCACAAAGATTAATTATCACATGATTGCTTCCCCAATTAATAATCTGACCATGTTCTGTTTTGCAAATCCCCTTCCTTTCTTTTGCAAAATAATTCTTCATGGAATGTACAGGTAGTCCTCAACTTATGACCACAATTGAACCCAAAATTTATGTTGTTAAATGAGAATTTGTTGTGAATTTTGCCCCACTTTGCAATATTTCTTGCCACTGTTGCTAAGTGAATCACTGCAGTTGTTATGCCAGTAACCTGGTTGTTAAGTGAATCTGGCTTCCTCCATTGACTTTTTCTGGTCAGGACGCAAAAAGTGATCACATGACTCCGGGACACTGCAATCGTCATAAATACGAGTCAGTTGCCAAGCATCTGAATTTTGATTACGTGACCATGGTGGTGCTGCAGATGTCATAACTGTGAAAAACGGTCATAAGTCACTTTTTTCAGTGTTGTTGTAACTTCAAATGTACATTAAACGAACTGTTGTAAGTTGAGAACTACCTGTAGATCAGTGGTTCTCAACCTTTTTAATGCCGTGACCCCCAACCGGTCGTAAGTCAAGGACTATTCAACCGGTCGTAAGTCGAGGACTACTCAACTGGTGCAGCACCGTTTGCAGAATGGGACTTTTGGCGGGCTCAGCAGGGCAGAGACAACCTGGACAACTCCTATTGGCTTTTGAAAGCCAATAGAATTAGACTCTATTCAAGAGAGTCTATTCTACTAGCTTTCAAAAGCCAATAGAATAAAAGGGAGGAGCACAGCTAAGGAAAAGGGGGAAAAAATGGTGGACTACATTGGTTGGCGACCCCCGTGAAATGGTCGTTCGACCCCAAATGGGGTCCCGACCCACAGGTTGAGGACCACTGCTGTAGATAGATAGATAGGTAGGTAGGTAGGTAGGTAGGTAGGTAGATAGATAGATAGATAGAAGATAGATAGATAGATAGATAGATAGATAGATAGATAGATAGATAGATAGATAGACAGACAGACAGACAGATAGACAACAGATAGATAAAAAGGTCCTGTCATCCCTATGATGCTATATGGTTGCTGCAGATAAATCTAACCATCTAACAATAACCAGGTGAATTGCTTGGTTTGTCTGATGACATATTCTGGGTTTGTTCCTACAGTCTCCATTGAAGAAATCCAGGATATCAGATCAGGTCATAAGACCGAAGGAATGGAAAAATATGCTAAGGATGTCCCTGAAGTTCGTTGCTTCTCAATCATCTTCAAAGATCAAAAGAAAAACTTGGATCTCATTGCTGGCTCTGAAAGAGATGCAAATCACTGGGTGTCCGGCCTGGGAAAAATCATTGCAAAAAGCAATTCAATGAGCCAGAGGCAAAAATTACAACAGTATCCTTTTTTTAAAAAAAAAAGTCTGACATTTGAGAAGAATTTCCAGGGGAGGGATCAGCTTTATTGTATTTTATACTTTATGCTAACTTTCTTCAAAAGAATATTGGACTGTCTTTCTGTAGCTAAGTTCTCTATAGCCCCATGAGACCAGTCTTTTTCAATCTTGGCAAGATAGGTGGACTTCAATTCCCAGAATTCCCTAGCCTGGATGATCCTTGCAAAAAATTCTGGTAGTGGAAGTCCACACCTCTTAAAATTGCCAGTTTGAAAAACACTGCTTTTCACCAGCTTTTCTCAGGTTCCAGATGAATGGAGTTCGACTCCCAGAATTCTCAGCACGGGCCATTCTGCCTGCAGGGTTCTTGCTCTTACTCTACCAAGGTAGAAGTTGGGAAATCCCAGGTTTAATGTAAGCCAACAGGACAGGTGTAGGGTCACGTCATCATGTGATCTCTTTTTACGACCTTCTGACAAGCAAAAGTCAATGGGGAAACCTGATTCACTTAATAACCATGTTTCTAACTGGACAACTGCAGTGATTCACTTAACAATTGAGGCAAGAAAGGTTGTAAAATGGGGCAAAACTCACTTAACAGTTGTCTCATTTAGCAACAGTAATTTTGGGCTCAATTACGGTTGTAAATCTAGGCCAGGGGTAGGCCACCTTGGCTCTTTTATGACTCGTGGACTTCAACTCCCAGAATTCCTGAGCCAGCATGGCTCAGTTTGGAAACCTCTCCCTTTCTCCTCAACATGGCTGGCTCAGGAATTCTGGGAGTTGAAGTCCATGAGTCATAAAAGGGCCAAGGTTGCCTACCTCTGGCCTAGGCCTAGGCTGCTTTATGACTCGTGGACTTCAACTCCCAGAATTCCTGAGCCAGCTTGGCTCAGCTAGGAAACCTCTCCCTTTCCCCTCAGCATGGCTGGCTCAGGAATGCTGGGAGTTGAAGTCCACCACACATAAAAGAGCCAAAGTGGCCTACCCCTGATCTAGGACTATGTGTAGGCAAAACCTTTTTTGACCAAGTGGCACATGTAAAATCTTAGCTTCTAATTAAGCCCATTTTGGGGGGGGGGAAATACCCTTCCCAGGGCTTGCCAGCAAGGTTTACCAGTGTTCCAGTTAAGATGGTCTAAATTTACCTTCTCTTTGGCCAAACTTGCCACTTGGCAATTCAGTCTCATTCAAGGCTGTTGAAGCCCATAATTTCCAAAACTGACCCTTGACCAAAGTTACTATGACTATGTATTTATCTCTCTGGCCAAAGTTTTTTCTAAGGTAATAATTACTGGGACTATATTTAGCTTTGTGTGTTTGTTTAGGGTAAAATGGAGGAGCCAGTGGAACACAAGAAACTTGTTTAACGCACTTTGATGAAACGAAGGAATTTAAAATTATTTAGACTGCATCAGGTTGGGAAAAGCTGCTCCATCCATAGTACAGGTAGTCCTCAACTTACGACAACAACTGAGCCTAAAATTTTCGTTGCTCAACAAGATATTTGTTAGGTGAATTTTGCCCCGTTTTACGACCTTTCCTGCGACAGTTGTTTAAGTGAATCACTGCAGTTGTTCAGCTGGCAACATGGTTATTAAGTGAATCCAGCTTCCCCATAGACTTTGTAAGATCTCAGGACATGGCAACCGTCATAAATATGAATCAGTTGCCAAGCGCGTAAATTTTGATCATGTGACCCCGGGGATGCTGCAATGGTCGTAAATGTGAAAAAACAGTCATAAGTCTTTTTTTCAGTACCATTGTAACTTCAAACGATCACTAAACAAACTGTTTTAAATTGTAGACAAAATCTGAAATATATTATTATACAGACATTCTGTGATATCCATTTCAGAGGTTTATGTTAGGGTTTTACAAATCTTCAAAGGAATGCTTCACACCATCGGATATCTAAGGAGGAGACCCATTTGTTGTTGTTAGTTGCGAAGTCGTGTCCCACCCATCGCGACTCCATGGACAACGTTCCTCCAGGCCTTCTCTACCATCTTCTGGAGTCCATTTAAGCTCATGCCTACTGCTTCAGTGACTCCATCCAGCCACCTCATTCTCTGTCAATGTCCCCTTCTTCTATGGCCCTCCATCTTTCCCAGCATTAGGCCCTTCTCCAGTGAGTCCTTCCTTCTCATTAGGTGGCCAAAGTACTTGAGTTTCAACTTCAGGATCTGGCCTTCTAAAGAGCAGTCGGGGTTGATCTCCTCTAGGACTGACCGGTTTGATCGTCTTGCAGTCCAGGGGTCTCGCAGGAGTCTTCTCCAGACCATAGTTCAAAGGCCTCAATTCTTTGGTGCTCAGCCTTTCTTATGGTCCAACTTTCACAGCCATACATTGCAACTGGGAAAACCATGGCCTTGACTATATGTACTTTTGTTGGCAGGGTGATGTCTCTGCTTTTTAGTATGCTGTCTAGATTTGCCATAGCTTTCCTCCGCAGGAGCAAATGTCTTTTAATTTCTTGGCTGCAGTCCCCAAGTTTCATCTTGGAGCCCAGGAAAATAAAATCTGTCACTACCTCCATTTCCTCCCCATCTATTTGCCAGGAATTGAGAGGGCCGGATGCCACCCCATTTGTGTGAAGTTTGCTAAGAACAGCTTTGTGCCCAGAAGTGGCTACATCTTTGGGGTTGATGAGCCCCACTTCTAGTTTTCATTAAGGTCAGGGTTTCCCGACCTTGGCAACTTAAATTGGTGTGGACTTCAACTCCCAGAATTCCCCAGCCAGCCTAGATGGCTTCAGATGGACAAGTGGAATAGTCTGAACTAAGACAGGGTTTCATGAGAAAATTGTTTTTAAACTGAATCCTTTATTTACATCTACATACATCCACTTTCCTTTCTTCGCAGCACTCCAAATTTATAACAGCCTTGCCCTGTCTGATATTTTCTTGTAATGGCTGGATTTGTTAGGAATAACTTTTTCCATAGTTCCAAAGATTTGAAGGCCATCCAGAATCACAAACAATAGCTTCTGCATAATTAATTTTAAATAGTAGTTATGACACCTCCTTCCCATGTAGGTTCCTTAATAATCATTTCAACAGCTGGATTCATGCTTGCCTGCGGAAAGCAGATAAAAACAAAGATAACAAAATGAGTTTTAAAGAACTCAAAAGTTTCATGAAGGAAGTCAACATTCAGATGGATGACAGCTATGCCAGGCAGATCTTTGAGGTAAGGAAAAAGGATTTTTAATTTAGTTTTTGGTTTCTTCTTTGCTTTAGACTCTTCTGACTTTAAATATAGGGGAAACAGATTTGCTACTACCGTGTTTCCCTGAAAACAAGCCCTAGCATGATTTTTCAGGATGCTCGTAATATAAGGCCCACCCCCCAAAATAAGCCCCAGTTAAACTGGTCACGCATTTAGCACCGTATCTCCCTGAAAATAAGCCCTAACTGGAAGCCCTAATATGTCTTTTGGGGCAAAAATTAATATAAGATCCAGTCTTATTTTGGGGGAAACACTGTAGAATAGAATAGAGTAGAATAGAATAGAATAGAATAGAATAGAATAGAATAGAATAGAATAGAATAGAATAGAATAGAATAGAATAGAATAGAATAAGAAATGGGAATAGAATAGAATAGAGTAGAGTAGAGTAGAGTAGAGTAGAGTAGAAAATAGAAAATAATAGAAAATAGAAAATAATAGAAAATAGAAAATAGAATGGAATAGAATAGAATACAAAATGGAATGGAATAGAATAAAATAGGAAATAGGAATAGGAATAGAATGGAAAATGAATAGAATAGAATAGAATAAGAAATAGGAATAGAATAGAATAGAATAGAATAAGAAATAGGAATAGAATAGAATAGAATAGAATAGAATAGAATAGAATAGAATAGAATAGGAAATAAGAATAGGAATAGAATGAAAAATGAATAGAATAGAATAGAATAAGAAATAGGAATAGGAATAGAATAGAATAGAATAGAATAGAATAGGAAATAAGAATAGGAATAGAATGGAAAATGAATAGAATAGAATAGAATAGAATAAGAAATAGGAATAGAATAGAATAGAATAGAATAGAATAAGAAATAGGAATAGGAATAGAATAGAATAGAATAGAATAGAATAGAATAGAATAGAATAGAATAGAATAGAATAGAATAGAATAGAATAGAATAGGAATAGGAATAGGAATAAAATTCTTTATTGGCTAAGTGCGGTTGGACACACAACGAATTTGTTTCCGGTGCATAAGCTCTCAGTGTACATACAAATAATAGTGATAATCATGATCATATACAACATGAAAATACACCCATCATAAATCGTGAAATACAACAGTTCATCCTAAATCATAAGATGCAACACTTAGTACTAGATAACAAACAACATAAATCATATTAGGGTACAAAAAAACCCAATGTAAACTGTAAGATACAAGCAGCAAGTTATAGTCATAAGAAGATAAGGATAGGTAATAGGAAAGATGAGGAGTATCGTAGTAATGCAGCTTTACTAGTATTTTGACAGTGTTGTAGGAATTAATTGTTAAGCAGAGTGATGGCATGGGGAAAAAACAATCCTTATGTCAGAATCCAATCATATTTCATCTTTAATTATCAAATATAGAAACTCCCAATTCTGCCTTCTTTGGATTCTGCCATAAGAGGGAGAGAAGGGGGAGAACAAAGGGGCTTTATGGCCCTCACTTCCTTCAGTACACTTCAAAGAGCTGAATGCTGAATGTGTGTTTATTGTAACATCAAAGCGTTAGCACTAGAGAACCTTATCATAACAAAGCAGGATACTTGCCTTTCATGTAGTTACCTGAAGTCTCCATTCAGACGGAAGAAAGAAGAAAGGGGGTGGAATTGTGATACTTGAAACTATCACTGGAAGGGGGGTTGATTGGGTGGGACTACTGGGGAACCCCTTAAAACCTTGAATGGGAAGAGCTTGAACCCCAAGTCCTGTCTAGCATGCCTGCAACCATTTTCTCTTAATAAAGGATTCCTGTTGGAAGAATTATTCCAAGAGTTCTGTCTTCTTAAGATGCAAAGTGGGGTGGGTCCTTACATTAGACAGGACTTGCAAAATTAATCCACCTGGAAGGGAGACCCTTGCCGGGGGATTTTGCAAAAATTTACCATGTCAGACAATGGAGCAAGAGAGGGGGAAAACTCCCTGGAAAGAGAGCCGCTGACCCAGTTGGAACCTTGCCAGATGTTGGGATCCGAGAGGCCAGATTCCTCAGGAGAAGAAGTGGTGGAGACACAGGACCACAAGCCTCGCTGGTCGATGGGCGTTGGAAAGAAAAGTGAGTGGGGAAAGGAATCAAGAAAGGTGACCCTGAGACGGGGGACCAAGCAACCAGAATGGAAGCAGGAGATGGAGAAATCCCTGCACGCAAGTGAAGAGGGAGGAAGCTGGGCACCGTACTCAGACTGGATCCTAGAGAAAGCTATTGACCTGATGAAGAGAACTCTCAGCTCCCTAGGAGAGGAGAATACTGAACCCTACGGCCGCCCCAGTTCCGGGAGCCGCAAAGGGAGAGACACCGAGGGGGACATGGAACCTGCAACCCCAGGGACATCTACTGATCCAGGAGCTCCCACCCCCTACCGGACCACAGATGGCAATCTGGACGGAAGGCACTACCACCCACAACAGAGGCACCGATCCATTCCAAGACGTCCACCGTTGGAAGTGAAATTCAAAGGGGAGCCAACACGCTTGGGGTTTTTCCTAACCCAAGTCCTCAGCTACATGGAGGAATATGGGCAGGATATTCCCAGCGACAAAGCCCGCATCCGGATCGTGCAATCTGCCCTGGATGGACCAGCTGCGGATTGGGTAGTGAACTTGCATGACTCCAATGCCCCAGAACTCAGTAACTTCAACCGTTTCATGTCCTCTTTGAGAAGACGATTTGAAGACCCCCTGGCTGATCGCAAAGCCCGTGAAAGAATAATAACGATGAGGCAGGGCAAACGCCCAGTGGCTGAGTATACACAAGAATTCCGGGCCATTGCCAGCAAACTGAGTTGGCCAGAAGACATCCTCCTTGGCCATTTCAAAGACGGACTAAACTATGATCTATATGATGCTTGCCTGCCCCGAGGGGACCCACATCGACTTGAGGAATGGTACGTCTTGGCAGAGGAAGCAGAGATCGACATATTGAAGAGGCACCGCCGAGGAAAACAATGGAGCCGCCCCCCGCCTGAGCTGACACACCAACCGGTGAAATCATCGGATACAGCCAAGAAGCAAATGGGATGTTTCAAGTGCGGAAGAGAAGGGCATCGAGCTGTAGAATGCCGCTCAAAGGCCCCCCAGCACAACCCAGACAGATCCCCAATCAACAAACCCGGAAAGTATTCAGCTAAGCCAAAAGAAACGGCCATGAGAATGATGGAAATTGCAGAAACCCCCACCTCTGCTCACCAAGGGGAAAGGACTCCAGCCTACACCACAGGGCCGGTGGATGCCTCAGATGACAGCTCGGAGGGCGAACCCCTGGTAAGTGGATGCATCACACCCATCTTCAAAACAGTGACTATATTAATCCCCCCCATGCCCGAAGCTGTGAAGGTGAAAGCCTTAATAGACTCTGGCTGCACCCGCTGCCTCATTAGCCCAACACTAGTGGGGAATCTGGGCATCCCATCCAGGAGACTGGAACAACCAATCTCATTTGGCCAGCTAGATGGATCCATAGCAGGGGGGGTGCCAGCTACCCTAGCCACTTTGCCAATACATCTCTCCCTGGGCAACCATGAAGAGGACTTAACGTTTGTGGTGACCCCAGGTATGGAATGCCCAATGATTCTAGGGATGGAATGGTTGAAAAAATGGAACCCCTGGGTAAATTGGAGGACGACAGAAATCAAATTCCCGAAGGGGGACCCTATGGACTTAAAACCCCAAGGAGGCTACCAGAATCAAGAATAGAAAAAGCATCCATAGGAGAGGAAAAAAGATTAACAGAAATACCAGAGGAATATAGGGACCTTGCTGAAGTCTTCAGTGAGGAGAGGGCGAATGAGCTTCCCCCCCACCGACCCACAGACTGTACCATTGAATTCAAGCCTGGGGCAAAACTCCCGAAGCCCAGATTATACTCCATGAGCCCAAAGGAGAAGGAGGAAATGGAAAGATTTATAAAAAAAAAACCTGGAGAGAGGTTTCATTGAGCCAGCCAAGCCTAAAGTGGCTGCCCCGGTCCTTTTTAGAGAGAAGAAGGATGGCTCTTTACGTTTATGCGTGGATTATAGGGCCCTGAATACAATCAGTGAAAGCAACCTATACCCGCTGCCCCTCATGAAAGACATGCTGTCACACCTATCGAAAGGGAAAATTTTTTCTAAACTAGACTTAAGGGAAGCTTACTATCGAGTGAGAATCAAGGAAGGGGACGAATGGAAGACTGCATTTAACTGCCCCATGGGGTGCTATCAATTCAAAGTCTTGCCATTTGGATTACAAGGGGGCCCTGCAGTCTTTATGCAATTAATCAATGACGTTCTAAGGGAGCACCTGTTTAAGGGGGTCCTTGTTTACTTGGACGACATTCTTATCTTTACTGAAACAAAAGAAGAACACGTCAAACTTGTCAGAGCGGTTTTAAAGAAGCTGCGAGCCGCTCACCTATATGCCAAACTCTCAAAATGCGAATTCCACCAGGAAAGGATAGACTACCTAGGCTATCGCATATCCCCACAGGGCATTGAAATGGACCCGGAGAAGGTCAAAGCAGTACTAAATTGGGCACCACCCCGCACAAGAAAGCAACTACAAAGTTTCCTGGGCTTTGCAAACTTTTACCGCCAATTCATCCCCTCATTTGCCCAGATAGCCTTGCCCCTCACTAACTTACTAAAAACGAAGGGAGCATCCTCAGTAAAACCTAGCCAGCCACTAACATGGACAATGGAGTGCCAAGCAGCGTTTGAGAGACTAAAGAGACTTTTTTCTGCCGAACCAATACTAAGGCACCCAGACATGGACAAGCCCTTCGTAATACAGGCAGATGCAAGTGATGTGGCAGTGGGGGCTGTGCTATTACAAGAAAATGATGATGCAGTATTGCAACCCTGTGCATATACATCCAAGAAACTCACGGAAACAGAACAGCGCTGGCCCGTATGGGAGAAGGAGGCTTATGGGATACGTTGGGCATTACTCACGTGGCGACAGTTCCTGGAAGGCAACAAAATCCCCTTCCAGGTATGGACTGATCACAAAAATTTAGAAGCCCTGAAAACTTCCAGGAAACTCAATCCCAAACAAGCCCGCTGGTCCCAGCATTTTCACCAATTCCAATTTAAACTCAAACATTTACCAGGAAGAAAGAACTTCCTGGCAGATGCTCTATCTCGCATGCCCCAATATAACAGCGCACGAACCACAGACTCTAGACCAATAATGGCAGAGTCACAACTGGCAGCACCAGTAACCACAAGAACCCAAGCCAAAATAAAACCACAACTGGACAGCCAAACTGGGATTGAATTCAGAAAAAGCTTGGAAACAGATGAATGGTTCCAGAAAAACACAAATGTGTGCACAATGAGAGACGGGTTGCCTTGGGTAGGGGAAAAGTTATATATACCAACAACTCAAAGAGTAACTTTCATGCACCTTTGCCATGACACAAAATCAGCAGGGCATTTTGGATTTGTAAAAACTTTACATTTAATTAAACGGCAATTTTGGTGGCCATCCATGAAAAAGGACATTGAAAGTTATATAGCCAGTTGTCCAAAATGTGCCACGGCAAAGAGGTTGCAAGGGAAAGTGCCAGGACTATTGCAAACAGTGGCAAGTCCCTCAGCCCCCTGGAGAGAAATAGCCATGGATTTTATAGTGGAATTGCCAGAAAGCAATGGGAATACTGTGGTCTGGACGGTCACGGACTTGTTTTCCAAACAGGTGCACTTTATCCCTTGCCAAAAGATTCCCACTGCAAAAGCCTTAGCAAAACTTTTCATCCAACACATTTACAGATTGCATGGGGCACCCCAACGCATCATCTCTGACAGGGGGGTGCAATTTACGTCTGCATTTTGGAAGGAATTTTTATCCCTCTTAGGAACCACTCAGGGACTGACATCTAGCCACCACCCTCAAGGAAATGGGGGGGCTGAAAAAATGAACTCCGTACTTAAGCAATATTTAAGATGTTTTCTTAGTTTCCAGCAGACCGAGTGGGCGGACTTACTCCCCTTTGCAGAAGTTGCCTACAATAATGCAGTCCACTCCAGCACAGGTTACACTCCTTTTCAAATAGCCACCGGTCAAAGTTTCAACCCCATGCCAGAATTAACCCCAAACGAACCAACGATCCCCTTGCTGAAAGAATGGATGGAGAAATTACAAAACACCTGGCCAATAGTCAGAAAAGCACTAGATGAAGCTAGGCAGGCATATAAAACACAAGCCGATAAAAAAAGGGTTGAGCCTACACCATTCATTATAGGAGAAATGGTGTACTTATCTACAAAATACCTAAAGTCCCTACAGCCCTGTAAAAAACTTGGACCAAAATACATAGGACCTTTTCCAATTAAAAGAATCATAAATCCAGTAACAGTAGAATTAGAATTACCCAAAAATCTCAGGCAAATACACCCAATTTTTCATTGCAGCTTGCTGAAAAGAGAGCATCAGTCACCTCTACGGCCAAAAATCCCCCTCCCATCACCTCCAATCATGGTGGAGGGTGAACAACACTTCGAAATAAAGGAAGTCCTTGACTCTAGGAGATATCATGGAGCAACTCAGTACCTAGTTGCCTGGAAACACCTCCCTCCCTCACAAAATGAGTGGGTCCATAAACGTCATGTCAGAGCCCCGAAGCTATTGAAGAAGTTTCACACAGAGTATCCTAACAAGCCTAACTAAATTTTATACTTGTGTTTTCTTTCAGGTGGATCTCTCTTATTTTTAAGAGGGGCCGGATGTCAGAATCCAATCATATTTCATCTTTAATTATCAAATATAGAAACTCCCAATTCTGCCTTCTTTGGATTCTGCCATAAGAGGGAGAGAAGGGGGAGAACAAAGGGGCTTTATGGCCCTCACTTCCTTCAGTACACTTCAAAGAGCTGAATGCTGAATGTGTGTTTATTGTAACATCAAAGCGTTAGCACTAGAGAACCTTATCATAACAAAGCAGGATACTTGCCTTTCATGTAGTTACCTGAAGTCTCCATTCAGACGGAAGAAAGAAGAAAGGGGGTGGAATTGTGATACTTGAAACTATCACTGGAAGGGGGGTTGATTGGGTGGGACTACTGGGGAACCCCTTAAAACCTTGAATGGAAGAGCTTGAACCCCAAGTCCTGTCTAGCATGCCTGCAACCATTTTCTCTTAATAAAGGATTCCTGTTGGAAGAATTATTCCAAGAGTTCTGTCTTCTTAAGATGCAAAGTGGGGAAATAGGAATAGAATAGAATAGAATAAGAAATAGGAATAGGAATAGAATAGAATAGAATAGAATAGAATAGAATAGAATAGAATAGGAATAGGAATAGGAATAGGAATAGGAATAAAATTCTTTATTGGCTAAGTGCGGTTGGACACACAACGAATTTGTTTCCGGTGCATAAGCTCTCAGTGTACATACAAATAATAGTGATAATCATGATCATATACAACATGAAAATACACCCATCATAAATCGTGAAATACAACAGTTCATCCTAAATCATAAGATGCAACACTTAGTACTAGATAACAAACAACATAAATCATATTAGGGTACAAAAAAACCCAATGTAAACTGTAAGATACAAGCAGCAAGTTATAGTCATAAGAAGATAAGGATAGGTAATAGGAAAGATGAGGAGTATCGTAGTAATGCAGCTTTACTAGTATTTTGACAGTGTTGTAGGAATTAATTGTTAAGCAGAGTGATGGCATGGGGAAAAAACAATCCTTATGTCTAATCGTTCTGGTGTGCAATGGGCGATGTAGCACGTTGATGTTTGATAGTACAGGTGGTCCTCACTTAATGGCGAGAAGGATAGGATCACACTGTAATCTTGGCCCCAACTGCTTTGCAAACACCCCTAAACCATGGTGTATAGGATGCTCTTTCAGCTCCAGTGTGTCCTGGGTTTTCCCAAAGGTGCTTTTGGAAAAGGCAACTGGACTTTGTTTTTCCTCGAAGACGTTTCGCTTCTCATCCAAAATGCTTCTTCGGTTCACCTTCAGTTCAGTTCTTCAGAACTGAAGAAGCTTCTTGGATGAGAAGTGAAACGTCTTCAAGGAAAGAGAAAGAAAGTCCAGTTGCCTCTTGAAAAAACACCTGTGGGACAATCCTGACCTGGATAGACTGAGAATCTCCGTAGACTAGTTTGTCTCGGGTTTGGTTCGGGGAGGGAAAGTACAGAGAAAGGAGAGGGGGGAAAAAAGAGCTGTAATGGCTAGTTCTAAAACTAGACTCCTGTTTTCCCCAAAAAGCAGAGCCCAGAGTACTTATGGCTAGAAGAGTTTGTGAATTTCTTATTTCAGCTTATCTCCTTTGCGAGATCGATGCTTCGTTTGCTAAGCCGGCCAAGTTGACCATTTCCAGTGATTGCCCTGTTTTGCATTGTCCAGCCCTGGTTTAGGTTGCGGCCTATAAAGAAGAAGTCCTTTTATTTCTTCCCTCTACATTCACAGCAGTGTGACAAATCCCAGACCAACACCTTGGAAGACGACGAGATAGAGGTGTTCTACAAGATATTGACGGAACGCCAGGAGATTGACAGCATCTTCTCGGATCAGGCGGAGGAGAAGTCGGTCATGTCCCTGGACCAGCTGGTGAGATTCCTGCAAGAGGAACAGTGTGAGGAGGATGCTGGCCCTGAATTGGCCCTCTCTCTCATTGAGCAGTATGAACCCAACGAAACAGGTAATAGCAAGAGCAGGAATACTCTTAGATTTATATACCACTTCACAGTCCTCTCTAAGCAGTTTACAGCGTCAGCATATTGCCCCCAACAATCTGGGTCTTCCTTTAGACTCAGATAGATAGATAGATAGATAGATAGATAGATAGATAGATAGATAGATAGATAGATAGATAGATAGATAGATAGATGGATGGATGGATGGATGGATGGATGGGGGTGGGTGGGCAGATGGATGGGTAGATAGATAGATAGATAGATAGATAGATAGATAGATAGATAGATAGATAGATAGGTGTGTGTGGGGGGGTAGGTGGGTAGATGAATGGTTAGATAGATAGATAGATAGATAGATAGATAGA